AAAATGTGATAGTTTCAATTAATAATTGATTGCAGCCAAGTAAAGGTTGAAAGTCAAAGATTTTACGGCAGTTTTTATTTGTTCCGATTTTTCAGATAACAGTCCAGCTTTTAAAAATGCTGAGGAAACTGCCAAATTTGCGAGTTGGCATACTCGGCATGGCTCATAGTTTTGAGCAGAAAGCTCTGATAGCAAGAACACGAAAATTATTCGAATTAGTCTGCCAAACCTATTACACTGTATGTTTTTTTTGGCTCTCATATATCTTTAGATTGAATTTAGATCCTAATTAGCAACCTAAAACAACATAGTAAGTACCAGTAGATTTATGAATGAACTTGTGATTAGCAGTATTAAAAGCACTTTACTTAAATGAGCTTTGCTTTTTTTTTACATAATCTTCTGTACATGACCCTTCTACATGACATACGGTTTACGTACATTTCCCGCTCAACAGTCTTCTCTGGCCTATTTCAATTTTCTCCTCTTTCGCATACCGATTTGCTGACGTCGGCCGGACCGTTTTTTTTTTAATTTGTTTGTATTTTAATTCCTGACTCTCATTATGTCGACTGGTGTTTGCAGCCCCGCCGGACGGGCTATTTATAGTTTCCATTAATATGATCCTTGTAGGGCCTCCAGGGCCTGTACTGTTCTTTATATTGCAAAACCAGAAAAAGTGTTCATTGACAAAATCAATTAAAAAATTATGAAAATTGAAGGCAGACAAAAGTAAAATCAGCTTATATTCGAAACTAATAGCAAATTGCAAAACCTTGCCCATTCAAATTCAGCTTTCCCATGCCCGCGGGTAACACGTGCGGCATTGTGAAAGTTTTTTTATAGGTAAATTAATATCTCGAGAACCACGGAGTCTAGCAGGCTGAAATTTTAGGGTAATGACCTCCTGCCAGTAAAGAAGACATTTCTTTACTGATTTGTTTGAACAGATTTTCTACGTGCCGTTTATTTCTAGAACAAGCCTCGTAGCTGAGAAAAAAAATTCAAACGGGCGGCATTTAAATACTTGAATACTTGAGCAGCTGTACGTCATCGAAGTCCGTTGTCACGCCGTCGATGCAGCTGGCAATTTCTTCATTCGATTTGTTGTTGCGCTCTCCGAGTCCACGCGATGCCGTACAGGCGTACCATGGGACCTCTCCACCTCACTGATGACCTCCCCAGTGTTCGCTTGAGCGTACGTGGGTACCATTCCGTTATCCGCTTCGTCCATCTTTTTTATCTGACATCCGTACCACATGACCAGCCCATCTCCCCTTTCTGGCCTACATTGCTTCAGTAATATCTTTCACGCCAGATCTGGCTCGTTGCACTTCATTTGGAATGCGCTACAGCCTGTTGGCGCCAATCATCCGCCGCTTCATTGCTCTTTGAGAGACTGCCAATTTCCGTTCTTCAGCAGGCGTGGTGTTCCACGTTTCACACCCATATAACGTGGGTGGTAGAACACTTAAAAAAAAATACCAAAAAAAAATTACACAAGTATATTTTTTATTTACTAAAACAAGTATTTTTTTATTAAAATAGATTTTGTATGTCTCAAAAATTCAAGAATTTTTGTATTTTCAGGGTGATTTAAAAAATTTGATAGAAAGCGATGAAAATGCAGAGCCGATTGTGGAGCATATGCCGGAAGTGGAAAAGCTTCAAGCAGATGTGCGAGAATTATTAAACGTTACTGAACAAGATATTATCACGATCGCTCCCGGTACTTATGGTTGGTTTCGCACTTCCTTTTTACTTCATATGCATTTTCCCTCTATTTTGCCCTTATTTTTTCTTTTTTTTTTTTGCTTTTACCGAAAGAGGTATGCAAGTGAGGAACAAAAGGCCTAACATAACTTTGCTCAACACAAGGGAGCATTCTAGTAACATTACTGGTATGGAACCTCTGTTACGATTATCCTATCAGGTCAAAACAGAACATATTTCACCAGATATTTTTCTGTAATCATAATATTTTTTATTATGATATTCTTCTGTAATCATGATATTTTTTATTATTTTTCCTCATTTGTCAGTTTTTTTCTGGCACTTGTTTACCTCATTTAAAAGCATTAGCCTCGATTTTCTTTCGTTTCTTCTCGTTTTGTTTATTTTATTGAAATATAGTGATCCTTAACATCGTTTTTGTGGTCCAGACAAACCAACAAAACCGACTTAGCTAAAAACTTAATTTTCCCAACGTAATAATCAATTTAACAATCAGCATTGTTATTACTACTTTTCTTCTACAACACTTATTAACATTTATTACGCAATTTAATTTTAATATCTAGTAACTCCAATTACCACAGTCGTCGTGCTGTCGAAGTCCAGTTGTGGTAATGATAAGAAATGTATACGACTTAATGGACCGAGACATTTTTTACTATCAAAATGATTGTATGAATTTACAAATTTTGTAATTCTCATCCTATACCTTTCTTTTTGTTCTCTTTTCATCCGTTGTTAATACAACTTCCTATTAGTTTGAAGCTTTTTTTGTCTCACTGGAAAATGGTGTGGAACAAGAAATTTCTATGGCCTTAAGTTTGTAGCTTGACATTTCTTAGATTAAAAAATTATCTGTATCTTTATTAAAGTAGCGATTTGCTGTTGATAGAGATTTTTTCTCATTATATTTAGAAAAATGCCTCCTATTCTTTTGAGTAAGAAAATTGCTTATTTTACAAAAAGGTCAGCTTGAATTCTCTGTTTTGCTCGTAAAAATTTTAAAGAAAATGGCTTGTTTTTGTAAAATGTGTTAAAAAGAAATCTAAATCACATCTCCCTTCCTTCTGCTCTCTCACACACATAGTTACGCTCCGAAGTGCCGCTTTTACTCTTTGCAAGATAAAAGATCTTTATTGTGTTTTTTGAAATTTCAGGTGCTCTTCAGGATTTTTTTCGGGTCTTCTTCGCCAGTACTTATTCGCTGTCAATAACGTGCTGTGCTGCGTATCGGAAGAATGTCTTGTACAGCGTGGTCAGTTTTAACATATCCCAGAAATTTTCGTATTTTTTTGGTGCTGTTTATTTTTCCCATCATATTAATCAATTTAACAATTGTATTATTATTACTGCTTTTCTTCGACAACACTTCTTACTTTTAACACTCATTACACAATTAATTTAATCTTAACATCTAATAACTCTAATTAGCACAGTCGTCTTGCTGACGAGGTCCAATTGTGGTAATGGTAAGAAATGTATACGCTTTAATGGACCAAAACATTTCTTACCATTAAAATAGTTCTACTAATTTACAAATTTTCTAATTCTCGTCTCCTTTTCCTTTCTCGTCGGTGGATTGCCTTTTTGAATCTTTGCTGAGACTTGCCCTTTTTGCTTTCTCTCATTTGCATCGGCACTTCGTATGAATTGACACAAGAAACCGTATTCCACATAACACATCCATTCTCAATTTTTATGCGTTTTTTGCATCTACGAAATGTAGAAAACGCATGTTGACGGTGGGTTGTCTGTGTGTCCGTGTGTCTGCACCGGTTTTTCATCTCAAGACTTATAGAAGCTAAGGGCTGAAACTTTGGGAACTTAATCTACGTAGGCGCATGAGCCCCAATCCCCAAAATGGGCGCCCTTACTTGTGGGGGCGTGTGGTGCCCACTCACGGGTTCGCCAAAGTTTTTTACGGACAAACAGTTAACTCGGGGACAGAATTGCTAGAAAGCTAAAATTTTAAAGGAATGTTTCCTGACAGTTCTGGCGGCCACTTTTAATTTGTTTAGCCAGAAGCATTTGCCGAAAAAACCGGCGCCGGTAGCGGCAAAACCTGCAGGGAGCTATGCAAAAAACGCATCTTCGCACCGGCAGCCGGTGCATTGGCCAGTTATTATAATATTGATTCTGCAAAATTTGACTGAGCTTAAATTATTAAACCTATTTTTAGGCGGATGAGCGACAT